AACTTTAGTTTTAAACTTTTGATAATGTAAATGCCTCTTAATTATACAGGCCCACGGTTTGTTGACGCAAAGGACCAGGGGTACTTTGCTTATATAAACATGTAATACTGAACATGCATTATATAATTAAGAAAATCATGCAATGTCCTGCACAAGGGTTTAATGTCACGAGGATATATATTAACAGATAAATATAAGATATTTTAAAACAGATCACCATTTCAGTCTTTAGTTGCATCTTAAAAGGAACAATTAATTGGTTTGCGGCCGAATTTTGACGCTTGCGTCAATATATGTTTCTTGTTAATTTCTTTGATGGACAGCTAACGCAGTCCCTGATTTTTCCGGCCGAGTACCTTGGGGGCCTCCTGTAACTCACCTGCTTGACCACTCGGAGGTGTAAAGCTTATTATCACCTTCCCGCACTTTTTCTTTTCTCTTGGTGTGAATTATGTGAAAATTTTGCCATTTCTCTCCTCTCTCTTCCAAGCCACATACTGCTGGTATTGAAATTCAACTTTGCTAATTAGCTTGTAATTACCAGTACTTGGAATACGTTGGCTTTTTGAACTCTTTTCGTCCAGATTTGATTAAAATAGCTGCTTATCATGTAATGTAAATATTACCTTGGCTACTTTTCCTGGTATTGGTTTCCATGGCAACTTCTCCACATCTCCATCGTGATTGGTCAGTTTTCTCTAGCCTCATCCCACCTGTTTTAGGGTGATAATTAAATGTGGTATATTATAGCTGCTATACTTGTAAGTTCTCATCAATCCAAAGGGAATTTATTCCTGCAGGAGCCCAGTTCATTGTGTTGAATTGTCTGTGTGCGAGCATGATCTGCCGTGTCAATATACATTTGTTCTGATGGATGAGCCCAGGTAAGATCGTAATTTAATCCTCCGTTAAGGTACACTATCATCAATGATCAAGTGAAGCATTTTGCCCTCAAAGTAAAAGAGCTCTAAAATCTGCCATCAGATGGCTTTTCTTAATAGAAGTGAAAATATGAAAATTTCAAAATACTCGTATTGAGATATTTGATAAACCATTATGGCTTGCCTTTATTCCATGAAAATGTTTTATTCCCACCTATTTTTTCTTTATTAACATGGAACAGTTGCATCAAATTTATTAACTTTACTCTTGAGAGTAATAAAATAAAATACAAGTCTTTATTTAATGAGAGTAGGAAAAATTGCACACTTAACATTAAGTAGTTGGTGTTTTTGTCAATAGACCGTCTTGATCATTAAACTGGATACGTGATTAAATTTGAATTATTGATGAAAGGCAAAGCCTATACACCGATCAAAGAAACAGTCAGTCATCTAGTGCTGGTTTAAATACTGGAGAAAAGATTACAGATATAAATATTTTAGATTTCTACAGTTGATCAGTATAAGGGTTTTTTCACCTTTGATTACCTCCCATTCATATTCAAGGGTCAGGAAAGTAATTGATTGACCTACAGAATTCCACAATAAAATGAGAATTGTAATTTTCCGACTCTTTTTTTGACATTGGCAATAATTAATACTTATACCAATAAATGAAGGTAAATAGGATGAAAGTAAAGATCTTTTATATTTTACCATAAAGAAAAAATATGATATATAATATATTTGTATTTTAATTCAGATTTCAAGTTATATTTAGCAAATTCCAAGAAAGTTATTCATGACAAAGAAAATTCAAAAGTATCTGAATTGACAATACCCTAAGAGAAGACAAAACTATATTTGGTTACAGTTCTTTACTATATTAGGATGAAATGTGCAGCATTTTTCTTCATTACATCTAGAAAAGGATTGTTAAAAGAGACTTGTAATTAGTTTACTTAATGCTAATTTCATTAGGGGGAACAGGAGTTATTTTAGGATTGCAGCAATGCATTGTAAATGTCAATACTGTGACACATGGTAGTTATATAGTCAGCATGGAGGGACTACTGAAATCTACCTGTAAGATACCTGTCATTGTCGACCATTGTTCTCTCCCATACCTGGCGGTTTACCTGAAATTCTACCTGTGGCTGCAGTCAGTATAATTATCCATAGACCCTACCTATAGCTGGCCTCCATGGTTGCAGATAGAGAGGTGATGGCATGTTTTTCATAAAACCTCGAGGAAACTGTGAATCTCGTTTGTCAGACAGGGTGGTTGTGTGAAGAGGTGTGAAGACAGAGATTTACCTGGAGTTTTACATCTGTCTGGCCTCTCCTCACTGATGGTCTTAACAGTTTTCTGTTTCAATCCAGACATGATTTTTCTACTTTGATTCTAGCTGTTTCATTGTTGGTAAGTGTTAGATCTGAATTGATGATGTGTCTGTTTGTGTCCAGCTAGTTGTTAGAAGTTGGACGATTAATTCACAGTTCCATTGACAGTATGCATGAACTTAACATCTCCATGTTGCTTAAAGGTAAAAGTTCTTTTTATGAACAAGTTAAAGTTTCAAGGACTTTTATAAGCAATCTCTTTTAAAAGATATAACATTTGATTTATAAAGTGGGTTTTCTTATTGATTGTAAAAGATATATATCTGATACGGCTCTTGGCTGCTTGAATGTTGAGATAAATCTAGCTGTTATGGCCCTAATGAATTTTTGAATGTGGCGTGGCAGTTTGGAATAGCTTGAGAAAAGTTGCACTAGCTGTTTCTTATTTTGTAACATATAGATTTTTTTTTTTTTTGCTAAGTATTAAGCTTGTATTAATATTTCACTTCTGGGATTGCTGCCTGCATTCTTAGAATCTGACTGATTTCATATAAGGGCAGTAACTCTTACTTCAAGTCTTAAACTTTGGGACTATTTGTACAGTTGTTTGTGAAGCATCTACTAACCTTGTGTTTTCTGTTCGTCAGTGGTGGATTGCTAGATATTAATAGATAGACTTATCAGCAGTTGTACCACTGATTTGCAGAGAAAACAATCAAACTAACCATGATGCCTGCTTTAATATTCTTTTATGGTCATTTTTGGGCTTTTCTTTGTGCATTTGTGGTGTTATACTTGAGTGTATAATCTGTATATTTATCTTTGTATATAATGATTGTGAATACATGTACTAGAGTAAATAAGTGCATGGCATTTTAAGTACTTTTATTGTATGAAGTGCTTACTATTAGTCAGCTTATAACACTGTGAAGTAATATCTAGTCTCATGTATGTGTGTTCATCATTTGTGATCTAACTGATATTTTTGGCAAGGGATAAGGAAAAGCTGGTTTTTTTCATGAAACTAATAACTATAGTACTGAGATCTGAATGGCAATTAATGATTTATACTAATTGAAATTTTTGACTTAATGCTGTATAAAACAAATGAGAGATAAGTGTTAAGTAAATGAAGATCATTGATGGCATGATATAATTTTTCGTACACTGGATTGGAAAACTTTTATTGTTCTAAATCATATAAGAAATGATTTTCAAATCACATGTCTGAAAATCAGAAGGAAAATATAATTATTAATTTTCAAATGACATTTTCTTCAGATGATAGAAAGATAGAAGGCAAATGATCAGAGAAGTCTGTACATGATAATGGTCGCTGATATTTCTCTAATCATTCCCATTGTTGGAGAAATATATGGCAGTGTTTAGGATACCTCCTCATTAACTTCTCAATGGATGCCGTTCATATAGGCCCAATAACGAGCGACTTTGATATTTGTAGAACTCAATTATGTGAAATATTACCGTGCTGCTCTTCAATTGAAGAAAAATCGTGTGTCGGTAGAAAAAAGAGAAAGTAAAGATTAAAAAAGCAGACAGATCTGATGACATGTTATTTCTGATTGGTTTTAATACAGATGGTCAGGTATTGGGTGGACGGTTCGCATGACTCTCTCATTATGTTGTCCAGTTAACTAGTACTGCTTTTATCTCCCTTTACAAAAACTTCAGTAATGTAGACTTCTCAGAACAATTTCTTTTGTGTGTAATTGCTCAAGCTCGTATGTCATACTATTTTTACTTTAATTGTAAAAATAGGAAAGAAAAGTCCAGAAGTTTAACATAAAAAGTCATTGAATTTGAAATTCAAACAAGATTTCCAAAAGTTTAGCTCACATTGCCAAGAACATTGAGTACAAATAACCGGAAAACCTACTTCCAAAAATGAATTAAATTTGAAAGCAACTTTAATTGGTGAAAATCTGTTGTTAACTTGACTGTTGATAATTTTTGATAGACAATCTGAATTAATCCTTTTCCTATTTCATTTACTGTCTAGGTAACATGGTAAAATTAATGATGAAACTGGAAAGAGTTTTTTTTTTTTTTTTTACAAATTATAAGTTTTGCGTAATTTTTGCGCATCTCTTACCATCTGAGGGATACAATTACACATTACATCAAAGTGTCGTCTGACTAAAGTCGCAGAATTTAATTGACAGACAAAAGAAATCCAAGTCTGGTGTTATACAGTGCAGTTCTCATTGAAGTCATTTTTTCTTTCTAAGAAAAGGGTATAGTAAAAATACATTCAGTGGTGGAAAGTGGTTTTTACGTTGGAACATTTGGTATAATTACTGAGAAGTTTTAGCTTCAAAGGTAATTGGATGAAGAAAACATATGGTTCCTTGTTATTGATTCGATTGGTCTAATCGCACTCGGTTTTACATGCAGACGGTCTACTTTAGTCCCAAATGAGATTAAAGCTAAAATAATTGTACATTAAACAAATTACAACCTGTTTTTATGAGATAGAAGGAAAAAAATTAATTTGCATTTTCACTGGAAATTTTCTACCGTGTGTTGTTAAAATACAGAACTTAGAAAATTAAAGAATGATCTATATATAGAGACATTCTTCACTTTTGCTAGAAGATTCAAATGAGTTGGAAATCATTTGTTAAAGTCCATACAAGTATAGGTCACCTTTGAATTCTTATCAATAATTTTATTCAGAACTTTCAAGAAAATGACACATTATAATTTTCAACTGTATTTGTCAGTGAGAATTATTTAAAGTTTGATGTGTTGCAGGAAACAACGTTACCAGATGGAAAACCGAAAGTAAAGACATTCCGCATTCCAGCATATTCACAGCCATCTTTGTATCATGAGGTTAGTTACAAGTTTTTGCTCAAAAAGATATTATATTTAACTAGATTGTATCATAGACCTTTGAAAAGACCTATAGTCTCAACTGCATATACATACCATACATAAGCCAGGTTCTTGGTCATACAACAACATGAGATGTGCAGTAAAGCATGCTTATAGTGAACATGCTTATAAAGTATTGAAACTTGAAGCAAAGTCATTTTACTTCTCTTTGACCCAAAATATATTGTAAACTTAACAGATAAATTGAATTATGCTTTTATCAATTAAAGCTAAATCATCTGTCCCTGGCAAAGAACAAGGACAAACTTGTTAACATTCCAATATTTTGGTTTTATAAAATGGTAGAAAATTTTGTTGAATGTAAAACAACAAAAAATAATCTGAAATTGTTATAAAAATTGAGAGTGCACGAGTATATAAGCATCATGGGGAATTCACTTCTAGAACAGATAGTTCAGGAGATACTGGAGCAATCCTGAGACCTCGGCAAGAACTTCATTACTGTAATTGGTGTTATCAGGTAATTAAACCTGCTCCAGTTGCCTGACTGTAGATGTTAAGTCCTCAGTCTTATTGAAGTCACATATTAATGAAATGAGTCTGGGACGGCCCATCCAATAGCTGAACTGTACTGAGGTAAATGGAAATGCTTTGCCAAAATTTCAGCCATGATTATATTGATGACATTTTCCAGTTGCTGAATGAGATTTTATTTTTTTGGGAGGATGGGGGTGGGGGAGGAAAAAGTGAGTACTGATTCCAAAAGCAGTATACATGATCACCTTAACTATATACATGTATAGCTTTACCTACCGGCTTGCTTTCTTCCATTGTTTCAACACAATTTAAACCAATAAAAATTAGAATTTTGTTATGATTTTGGATTGTCCTATGAATATTTATTTCTTCATATATATTTAAGAAGACCAGCTCCCAAAGTTAAAAAAAGGTTAGACTTGTACCTGCTGACCCAATCAGTGGCTGATCCAGGAATCTTGAAAAAAAAAAAGGGGGGGGGGCTTACCAGTTTGATTTCTGGGTCAGGGAGCACAACCACACCAAAAGAAATTGATTTATTAAATCTTGTGTATACTTTGGACACAGAAGGGGGGGGGGGGCTAGGCCCTGCTCTAAATCCACTAGTGCGAATGAGTCTCAGTTATTGATCAGTACTGATACCAATTTAATTCAAAGAGTAATTTGGAGCAAATTCAAATCTTGATCTTGCAAATGAACAAAAGGAAAAATTTGTAATGACAGGTTTCTTCCATTTCAAAAAAAAACCTTCTGCATTATTTTTTAAACAAATATTTCACAATAATTCTTTTGAATGTGTATTTATTTGCAGTGAATTTTAAAAAATTAAAAAATTTTAGTCAGAAAAAAATACCTTGAATGAAATAAGGCAATAACAAATGATTGCGCCCATGTGAAAAGGGTCCTTATGGCAATTTTGCTAAAACAGAGAAATAACGTCACAAAGATGTGACGTTGCAGAGTGACGGTGAACTTCGACGCAGATTTTTTTTTAACCACGTGTTTTGACGTTTGACACATCCAGAGTTTTTATCGCTGTTTCCAACATGTGGAATTTATTTTCATTCATAAATCAATTCAATCAATATCTGATTCTCCTAATCCACTGATTTTAATAGATATAAATAAAAACATTTAGAACTAGTTTCTTAACAATCATTATTAAATACGTCTCTATATAATACCAACAGTTTTCCTACATGCGGAAATTAATGTATAGAAGCTGTAGACAAGGTGTTTTCTGATAGGAAAATGAACCTTTATACTCTAGATAAATTTTATTTACATATTTATACCATTTTTAGAATACATCTTAGACAGGGTATATCGTAAAAAAATATTGCAAAGGAAAATAATTGTCTTCCTACTTCTTTGAGATCCGCTCCACCACTCTCAAATATACATCGCGATCGTGTCAATCACATGTAAACATTGATTCATCGGACCGGTGCATACTGCTTAAACTGTTATTAAATTGTTTGTACAAATATTGAAACTAAACATACATCTTCCACGTTTTTTACTAAACTAACAAGAATGTGTAAGAACAATAGTTCTATAAATAAAAGTAGGAGAGATAACTCTGATGTCAACAATCGATGTAACAGGGGTACCAGACAGGGACATTCATTTTAATTGCGTACTTTTTCACATTTCAGCTGCATGTCGCATGAATTTGCTCCCGGATTATAAAAGAGATATTTTATGACTTAATAAAAACACTTTTAATCGTCAGCATAATTATGAATTTTTAAATAAAAAAACATTGTTGTACTTTGGGAATAAGGTTAATGTAGAAAAAGGAAAAACAAAGAAAAAAAGGAAAACTGCAAAATTGAACAGACTTTAATTTTTTTTTTTTTAAATCTCTTATCTATACCTTTTTTTTGCATAGAATAATTTCATGACGAATTTCATTTTTTTTTTTAAATAATAAACATGTAAAGCGTCTACCTAATAATCATGATTAAATAAATTAAACTTTAAACGGCTAATTGTATTCGGCGCGTTGGCGCGCCAGCGCGTCCATCTCATCCCAATACCACAAAAGCATTAAAACACTCAAATGACAACGATTTTCTTTATAATGTAAGCGTTATCGCTTATATTCAAGCCGACAGCCCGAGCCCGATTGCATTTCTTTTTAGGTGGATCCAAAAAATTTTCCCTAGGAGGTGATGGCTCGTATCGCAAGGGAAGAGGTACAAGGCATAGCTTTAATAAGTTTAAATGCCATTTGATCCATGCATGCCTTACCACAATCCGTGCAAGAGTAATCCGAAATTTACCCGAATTTTGGAATTGACTTACTTTCGATTTCTCTCTCTCTCCAAACTTTAACTATAGCATTTAAAAATATTGAGTGCTTTTTATATAAATTTATTTAATGTTTTAAATATATATAGGCTTAGGAACCGGGGGAGGGGGCTTACACAGATATACCGTACATCATATTAAACATAAGGGCGTAGATTTAGCCCCCACTTTCAACTGGCACGTTGCAGTGTTGTCGAAGAAGGGTAAGTAGTAGTGTTTGAAAGAACAAAAATCGGTATTGAAAAAAGTTCGATCCCCCCCCCCAACGAAATAAGATTTTCGTGTTTGGAAAATAGATACAATTTTCCTTTTTTTCTGCTTGTTAAGATTTTTTAGTTTCGAATTTTTTCTCTTTCATTCCCCCCCCCCCCCCCCCCCCCCGGCCTTTTCACTTTGCTTCCGACGCCAATGTATCAAATTAAGATTTACCAGTATAATGTTATGTCCTTAGACTCTAGAGTTTAAACTCCTTTTTAAAGATTTGATTTTCATGGCTATAAGCTGCCATTCATTGGTATCAGTGTTTAAAAATATTCCTTGTTACGTTTTAAATTAAAAATTTAAATAAAAAAATCAGGATTTTTCCGCGTGTATCCAATTTCCGCTTTGTTCGCGACGAGTTTTGAATCGCGGAAAATAAAACAGCGTTAATTTAATACAAAGTTTTTCTTCTTTTAGTAAAAATTATTTCTTTATGCTTATATCGTAGAAAATAGAAATAGCGGGATCAGAGGACAAGCGCAAGATACCGGTAATAGGTGTAAGCCCTTATTGTTTGTTTACTAATTGACAAGCTAGCTAATTATATGGGTCACGTTCCATGCGAGAAGCTATTAAACTAATTATACCTGAGCTGCTAGTCAGTTTGGAACAGTAAATAACCTATAATTGTTTAAATCTTAAAAATAAAATCTGTGGATTTGAGAGTTAGTATGCAACACAGGTGTATAATCAGATGAGCGGGTCTTCCGAAATTGACGATATTGATCTAGCTATTTCTCAACCGTATTAAGTAACTCAAGCTTTACAATTAACATCCGATTCCTTCATAGGCTTAAACACTTGTTACAATATAGTAACTTGGACTTTGAAATAGTGAAAATTTGATTCGCGTAAATTTAATATACTGATTTAGCTTCTGATTCGCGGAAAAAACATGACGCGGAAAAAACCTGATATACGGTAATATAAATTGCTGCTAAGAATTACCTTGTCTTTATTAGAGAGGACTGAGGATAGGGAGAAACTTAAGTAAAAGAAATGGCTTTGCTATCAATAGCCCTTTTAAACAAACTGTGGTCAGAAAAATACCTTATTAATTTATTGAAAAAAGATTAACAAGAAAAAGTCTTAAGACTTTTTGGTATATCATTCTAAGGTTATAGTGTGATCAAAACAAACCTTACCTTTTTGACTCTGTATAATCGCGTCATTTTCTTTTTCATTTAATTCAAACAAACTTCCTTATAGAGCATAAATGAACATAACTTAAAAATCTTGTTAACAAAGTGTGAAACATTAAATTTTATTGAAACCGTCATTAAAATCAACACATATCAGTACTTTCAGTACTTTAATGAGTGGAGGATATCGAGCCCGATGTTGTATAAGCGATAAATTTATTAAATCTGTTGCGCGAGCGCGCCGACACACCGAATACAATTAGCCCTTTAAAAATGTTTTGTCTTATTCTTGTTGCACAAAGACACTTCAATTTAGAGAAATTAAAACATGCAAAAACATCCGAATGAAAAAAAAAATGTTCTTAAGGTTCTAACTTAAATAGAGCTGGTCAAATTAATCTGATGAGAGAGAGAGAGAGAGAGAGAGAGAGAGAGAGAGAGGATGGAGGGTAGATAAAAATATTCATATTGAATCTATTTATCTAATATTGAGAAATGTGAAACTCTATTGAAAAAGATAAGTTTTCAAAACAAATGAAATAATAAATGAAAGAAAATATCATTTTTCTTCTCTAAACTATATATACATGTATAGCTATTTATTTTCAAGATCTCTAAATTTAATATACATGTAACTCTTTGGTACTTACGTGCTTTTTTTTTGTTTTTTTTTTTTCTTCATACGGAGTTCAAATGTTTTAAGCATTATTTGCAAATTAATTCCTTAAGCAATGACGAATTTTGTCTTTCATATAAAAGCTCGATCAGCATTGAATGTCTCTTAACAGATCAATTATCATGCTAAAAACTCAATCATCACTGAGCTTATAATCTTATTGCAGTTATCAGTGTGGAATAATATATTGTTTTACCTGCCATCAAATTATGGATAAATATTATTAAATATGCCCAAATATGATTTTTTTTTGTTTTGGTTGATAAAAAAATCCTTATAAGTTCAGGGTCGGGTTTTATTTCTACATGTAAATGCTAACAGAAAATAAAATTCAATGCTGAAAATACATGACATAAAACCGCAACAATATGCTTGCATTTTGTTTTATTTTGGCCGCAGTGCAGGGGATGGGGGTGGGGGTGTCCTTATATATTTCCGCAACATGTAGGCTTTACAAGGCTTAGCATATCCAAGCCTCTGGTACCAGGCACGTAGCATCGTTTTTGAAAGGGGGGGGGTCAGAGAATTTTTTTTACTTCCCTGAAAAATTTGACTAGCAAAAAAAAAAGGGGGGTTTATGTTGCACAAAGTCGAAAATCCTATTTCGTGGGGAGGGCGGGGGAAGAGGGAGGGGGGGGGGTGGTAGAGGTCAACTTTTTTTTAATGTCAACTACTTTCAGTACCAATTTTTATACTACGATTTCCGTACATCACTAATAGTGGGGGGCCAACCAGACTTTCAATTATCAATTCCTATAGTATAAGTAAAGTTGGGAAAAAAAGTGAAGGCCCCCCATTGCTACGTCCCTGGGCACGGGACCAGAATGGAATTCATACTCTTTAAAACTCATTTTATAGAATAAAATTAGAAAACAACATTAGAGTGATTTTTTTTAAATTAAGTCATAAATAATATGATGATTTTCTAAGATGTTTACATCCCTACAAAAATCTGACATTTAAAAGCTCAGCTAGTTCGCAGACAATTGTCAAGAAATATATTATACAAAACAGTCATATTCAACTGACTGTATATATAGGCATTAACAATTACATGTTATTAATCTTTAACCAACCCCTACCCCAACAAAAGCTATACATATAAACCGTAAATGGCATCTTTAATTTAATTCTATGGGAGTGCTTCTAAAACCATCCATTTCATAAAATAAAACCAGATTTTTTAATTCTAGGGTATCATTATATACATGATTAACAATATTGAATTCATAGCAATTCAGTTCCAGATTTTGAAAATGGCAATGCTCAGAATTAAATGTACAAATATAAAATGAAGAATAATAGGCACGCATTATTTCAAACCTAAATAAAAAAGTGAATCTGCAAGTTGTAGGGTTAATGGTACTGGGTGCACCTAAAACTTTTGAAGTAAAAAAAAATTATTTATTTTAACTCGTGTTCACAAGAATTGTAAGTTTCTGCCATTTAGATTTTTACCCCCCCCCCCCCCCCCCCCCCTCAGCAACATACACATAATCCTACAAATGTTAATCTTGGGTTTATCTATTGTGTAAATGATTGCGGATTATAACTCATTTATTTGTTTGTAAAATTTCCACCTTTTGATTGGTTAATATTAAAATATTTTTACTGCTAGACTGAAAAATATTTCGTGTATCCTTTATATTTTCAAAAAAGAAGTGTCATTGTTGACCCAATGCAGACAGACAACCTTATAGATGCAGTGAATCAACCGAATTTCTTTTTTATTTACTGTCTATTGTGTGTCGTAATTACATGTTACATGTACCACACTTCACAATTTTTCTGTCTTTATATAAAATTTAGAAAGAAAGAACAATCAAATAAATTTTCACTCCGCAGTAGCATTTAGGTAGCGTAATGTTGTTCCAGATATAATTTTTAAAAAATTATTTTTTTTCACATATAAGGTAACTAAAGATATATCGTTTATGCTGAAATCTTGACCTATCGAGAGCAAAGTTTAAATTAAAATAATTTTCAAATGAATTCTATAGGCTTATCAAATGACTCTTGCATGCATTACCAGTAAATATTTTGTTTGAGAAAATAATTGTTGCAAAAAAAAAAAAAAAATGAATGGATGTTGCCCGCTGTTCAGGTCTCCCCCTGGTGTCATAGAAAAGTGAAATGTAAAACAAACACTCACTCATAATACTATACACCACTGAAGAATCCATAATATATATAACTATTTGATAATTATTAATAATTAAAAGAGACATTGAGATAAAAATAATGTGCATGGAAAAATATTAAATATTATACAACTATTAATCACCCTAGTAAAATTACAGAAGAAAATCATTTAACGTTCACTCTGAAAACGTTTGACGTTGTTGAAAAACATGACGTCATTATTAACCTGTTAAAATATATTTGATAAAAATGAAGAAAAAAACCTACTTAGAGTAGACGTAGGACCATAAAAATTCATATTTGACAACTTCTAACCTTACTCTATCAGAATCCGTGAAAAACTCAAAATGCATAAAAATTGCCATAAGGACCACTTTTCACATGGGCGCAATCAAATGTAATCAAGCTTAAAAGTATATTGAAAGAATACAGCTTTGGAGAAGAGCAAACACGGACCTCTACAGACATCAGTGGTGGGATCAGGTACCATGGAGGAGTGAGCATCCCCTGTCGACTGGTCACACCCACCGTGTGTTCCTTGTCATGATCAAACAAAGGGAAAAATCTGTAGAAAATTCAGCATTTAAATAATGGCTCAAATTCAGTTCATGTTAATTGTACATGTAATTCTATGTGAATTTGAATTTTCAACAAACTTTGAATTGAATTATTTACAGAGCATCTACAAATGACTCTGCAGAAATCAACCGAAGTACTAAGTACTATTTATATTTTTTCTTTACCAAAATGTACTAAGAGTACTTGAACTAGAAATATGAAATAAAATTGGAGTTTAATATAAAAGCCGACCAATATTCTTGAAATTAGGTTTATGCCTAAAAGAAAACCCATCATTAGCATTCATGCAAACTCCATACGGAAACAAATGACAAAAAAAACTTTCATTAAAATATTTCAGTAAAGAGACAGAGCACTTGTTATTGACATTAAACCGATGTAAAACTTCTGAGGCAGACATCTGAGCTGGGATGCTGCACTTATTACTGACTGATGATGATTAGGGAGTTCTCAATGATCAGGGATCCAATTATTTTGCCTTGGATCATGCCAGGTTTTTTAATGAATGATCCATTAAAATTTTTGTGGCTTTGTATTTTAGTTCATTTTTATTTTTTATTTGTTTAAGATGATATGAAAAAGTAGTTTTATGCCAATTTTTAGTATTTTGTTCATGTAGCTTCCTTTGTGTTCCATGAAAATAAATTGGCTAGGATTTAAATTTCCTAGAAAATGTCTGTAAAAGGAAATTCATGTATATGGAGATTATAACAAACAGAATTCAAGCTCAAAACCTCTAAATCTCAGACCTCTAACACATCAGAGGTGGGATGAGGTGCCATGGTGGATTGAGTATCCCCTTCCAACTGGTCACACCCACCATGTGCTCTTTGTCATGATCAAGAAATGGAAAAATCTGTTGACAATTCAGTGTGTAAATAAAGATAACTTGATCATGATAGTACAGTGAAACATGGAAACTTGTCTAATACAGATGCTGTGTATATAAATCTTACCAAATAAAATGTCAAGTTTAAATCCCTTAAAGGTGCATGTTCTCTAATTCGGAATGTTGTCTAATACCACCAATGTCTTTGGAACCAGTTTTATCTGGATTAGACAAGTTTCACTCAATGCTTTAGAAGCTCAGTATGTGTTAGACTTTACTTACCCAGTAATTTCCTGTCTTTGTAGCCAACCAGCATCAGCAGTATCTCCCTCACAGAGAGTGCCCTGTCACGACTGGACCGCCGCGAGGCCGAGACGTGGTGCAGTGGTCCCTTACCTCAGTACGAGGCCATTAATGGACAAAACAGGTGAGCTAAATAATAAAGGTGTTCAGATAGATTCACACTACATGTAATGTTACATTAGGAGTGGACCCTTACCTCAGTACGAGGCCATCAATGGACAAAACAGGTGAGCTAAATAATAAATAAAAGGTGTTCAGATAGATTCACACTACATGTAATGTTACACTAGGAGTGGTCCCTTACCTCAGTACGAGGCCATTAATGGACAAAACAGGTGAGCTAAATAATAAATAAAAGGTGTTCAGATAGATTCACACTACATGTAATGTTACACTAGGAGTGGTCCCTTACCTCAGTATGAGGCCATTAATGGACAAAACAGGGGAGCTAAATAATAAAGGTATACAGATAGATTCATACTACATGTAATGTTACATTAGGAGTGGTCCCTTACCTCAGTACGAGGCCATTAATGGACAAAACAGGTGAACTAAATAATAAAGGTATACAGATAGATTCACACTACATGTAATGTTACACTAGGAGTGGACCCTTACCTCAGTACGAGGCCATTAATGGACAAAACAGGTGAGCTAAATAATAAAGGTACAGATAGATTCACACTACATGTAATGTTACATTAGGAGTGGACCCTTACCTCAGTACGAGGCCATTAATGGACAAAACAGGTGAGCTAAATAATAAAGGTATACAGATAGATTCACACTACATGTAATGTTACACTAGGAGTGGTCCCTTACCTTAGTATGAGGCCATTAATGGACAAAACAGGTGAGCTAAATAATAAAGGTATACAGATAGATTCACACTACATGTAATGTTACACTAGGAGTGGGCCCTTACCTTAGTATGAGGCCATTAATGGATGAAACAGGTGAGCGAAGTAACAAGTGACAGTAACAAGTACACCTTAGTAACTTTTTAGGTCAAATGTCAAACTCATGCAATGCAAAAAAAAAATTTCAGATGATAAGTTGAAAACTAGTTTTTAGCTCTACTGGTCAGAGACCAGAAGAGCTTATGCGATAGTAATGCGTCCGTCGTCCGTCCGTCTGTCTAGCTGTCCGTCTGTCTGTCTGTAAACAATTTTTCAAAATGCTACTCCTCCTACAGTTTTGGTCCGATTTCAATATAACATGGCATACAAGTAGACTACACCAAGATACATAATTTTGTGCATCGGTTTATGATTTCGAAGAATGGTGTTGCCGTGGTTACTAAAAATAGAAATTTCTGTGAAATTCTTTCGAAATGCTACTCCTCCTACAGTTTTGGTCCGATTTCAGTATAACTTGGCACACAAGTAGACTACACTAAGATACATAATTCTTTGCATCAGTTTTTGATTTCGATGAACGGTGTTGCCGTGGTTACTAAAAATAGAAATTTCTGTGAAATTATTTCGAAATGCTACTCCTCCCACAGTTTTGGTCCAATTTCAATATAACTTGGGACACAAGTAGACTACACTAAGATACATAATTCTGTGCATTGGTTTTCGCTTTCGATGAACGGTGTTGCCATGGTTACTAAAAATAGAAATTTCTGAGAAATTCTTTTAAAATGCTACTCCTCCTACAGTTTTGGTCCGATTACAATATAATTTGGCACACAAGTAGACTATACTAAGATACATAATTCTGTGCATCGGTTTTTAGCTCTACTGGTCAGAGACCAGAAGAGCTTATGCAATAGTAAGGTGACTGTCGTCCGTCCGTCTGTCTGTCTGTCTGTAAACAATTTTTCAAAATGCTACTCCTCCTACAGTTTTGGTCCGATTTCAATGTAACTTGGCACACAAGTAGACTACACTAAGACACATAATTCTGTGCATCGGTTTTTGATTTCGATGAATGGTGTTGTCGTGGTTACTAAAAATAGAATTTTCTGTGAAATTCCTTTAAAACACTACTCCTTCTACAGTTTTGGTCTGATTTCAATTTAACTTGGCACACAAGTAGACTACACTAAGATACATTAAATAGTGCATCGGTTTTTGATTTTGATGAATGATGTTGCCATTAGTACTAAAAATAGAAATGTCCGTGAAATTCCTTTAAAACATCACTCCTTCTACAGTTTTGGTCTGATTGCAATGGCTTCTTTTCTTATCCTTTGTTATAAGTACAAACCAGTAGAGCTACAGTCTCGACAGAGACTTCTGGTTCTTTTACTTTTCAAATGAAATTTCAATGAAATAATACATATTTCAACTCCCAACATACAGCGTACCTTCATAAAAATAAACAGTTCTACAGTAAAACTCGTTTAGTACGAACAGATATAGCGAATTCACCCATATAGCGAAGTTTTTCTTGGCCCTCGGCAAAATTCTTAACAAATCTTTGTAAAATTTTACGGTTATAACAAACTCTGATATAACGAATTTACGGATATAGCGAATTGATTTTGAGTCCCGTTGAGGTTAAATTTAATGAAATTTACATCTTTTATAATGAACTTTCCAAGATTATAAAAAAAATTGAACTGACTTTATTTCCTTTTAGCATTTGTATATAAAATTCAATTCATAATAAAACCTTAGTTATCGAAGATATGTTTTGTAATATTTGCTTCCCTAAAATATTTGGTAGTAATACCTGAAGGAAAACATGCATATTGCGAATTCGCTATAATGGTTATGCGGATTCGTTATACGGATATAACGAATTACGGATATAGTGAATTAAATTCACAGGTCCCCAGGACTTCGCTACAATCGAGTTTTACTGTATACATTTAGGTCAAAAGGTCATGGGAAGAAATAGCATGCATAAAAGAAGGTCCAGTGATAACTTCAGTTCTCTCTGCAGTTTTAAAGGTTTTGATGTTCCACACAATGTTGATGACACTTTACTTTACACTTCTTAGTTTGATATTGTAGCATTTATGTAACACTCTCATTAATTAAAGGGATGTTGATTTTTTTCTACATCTTTTTCTTAAAATAATTGCATAAAAAATAATGAATTGGCTAATTAGACATTAGTGAACAAAAAAAAAGAAAGGTGAACTAGATTACCGGTAATATCTGATAAATTTTGTTAATTACCATCACAAGATTACTCTTTTAAAATGCCTTTTCATTCATTCATGTACATGTACATGATATTCAAATGTTGCGACTCTTAAAAAGTGTAATATTTTATTGAATTGGGTAAAGGTTCTGTAGATAATTATGTTTTTAAATTGATCTGTACATGATATTCCAATGGCTTTTATAGTGTGATATTAATTAGTTGAACTGAGAGAAGAGTGTTGACCTATGTTAAGGTTATAGTCCCCATATACAGTTAAGAGTTTGACGGATTAAAGTTCAATGATCCTCGGGGGCATTGAAGTTACTGGCCATTGTATTATGAGTACTTGTCATTGTCACAAGGTTTGATGGAGATTTTATCATGGAGTACATTACACCTAATTTGTGTAAAATTAACATAATGACACACTAACTGATGTTACTACCCCCATATCTCCCCTTGGCCTAGTCAGAATCAATAATTATTCTTCATCAGAGGGTGCCTGTGGATAGAAGGTTTTCAGTGACCTTGAACCAGTGGATAAAAAGCCAAGTTTAAAAAAAAGTCTGTAAAAAATCCTTGTCAGGAGCATATTTTATCTCCTTTTCATTTATCGAGTACAGGTGGCTAAAAAATATGTAGTGACCTTGAACCAAAATTTCTAGATCAAAGGTTAAGGTTAAAAAGCTTTCTGTGTAAAATCCTTGTCCAGAACACATATATTTTCTTTCCGTTTGACCCAGTCAAGCTCAGACTATATACCTATAGATTACCAATGGGTAAATTGGTTTGAAGTGACTTTGAAGAAAAAAATTTGATAAAAGGCCAAATACAGAAACATCTCCCTGTTTGGATCACATTTTCCCTCCCCCTTGGCCTAGTTTGGCTTATACTTCACCCATAGAGTGCCTGTTGGTGGAGGAAATGCAGTGACTTTGGGTCCACATTTAGATATAAGGTCAAGGTAGAATGCCTTTTCATGTCAAATGATTGTCTATATATGCTTTCACTTTGGCCCTACCTGGCTCAAACTCTTTTCATAAGAAGGCCCATGGATGTCTGCATTGTCCTTATGCTTTTCTAGGTTAGTGGCTGAGGATATAGCAAGTAGTGCTTTTGTTACTTGAAAACTTTTCAGTGGAATTGAAATTGATAATTTGAAGTATTCAACTTTAAGTTTCACCTTAAGTTTGAATTCAAGTAAATATTTTTTTGCTATTAAAAAAAAATTAATACATACATCTAGAAGTGATTTACTTAACTGTTGTTCTAAATACTATTAAGATAAGGAAAGTATATGTAATTCATAAAGATTGAATTTTAGTTTTGACTTTCTCTAAAATTTGTGTATCCTCGTTTTGCCTAAATGCCAACTGCAGATTAGTGAGCTAAACGTACACATGTTCTCTGGGTTTTCATAATCAATAGAGGAAAGAGGTAGTCCAGAGGAGACACACTGTGTTCTTCTTCTGTAATGAAGGAAAAAATGCCTCGTCTAGAAATTTCATACTCCAGTGAGTTAATTTGTTTCCATTGATCTCTTCATTGTGTTTTGGCCGAAGGCGATCGCAAAACAATTTTTCTCAGAGATGAAGGTTACTTGTAATTTATGGACAAGTTTATTAAGAGAGTAAATCATATTTTTGCAGATTGCAATTTTCTGAAGTTTTCACCTGATAGAGAGTGCAGGATACTTGTAATTTATTGAATTTTTGATCTCTTTCTGAGGATGTTCATCAAATGAATTCAAGTTTTCTTACATATATGCAATATCTCAACCCCACCCCACCCCTTAAAAAAGACATTATGCTACTGTAGCTTTTTCCATACCCAGTTTTATAAAGTGTATTCAATTTGCTGAGGTAAAAGTTTTAGTTGGTAAACTCTAAATTGAATTTTGGGAATACATGTACTTAGTACATTGAACACAGTAGAAAGGAAATGCAAGAAAAAGATGTTAAAAGGAAAAATATCAGATTTATATTCCAAAAAAAAAAATAAACATAAGAAGAAAGGAAAAAATCATAAAAAGTTCAAATAACTAAAGCATGCATAAAAAATTTTGTTGACATTTCTTAATACATTGTACATGTATAAAATTTCAAAATAAATTTTTCATTTCTATGTTAATTACATTTTCGTAATATCTTTTCTTTCAGACAGGCTATATTGTCCAACGTTCTCCAGACGTACACGATGGAGATCGCGGAGTTGACAACTCAGTCTCATCTTTGGTTCTGTAAATCATCCTCCAGGTAACCAATCAATAACCTGAGCCAGGATTATTAATTATAATTAACAGATACTTTAGCGCAGGCAAAAATTTTCCATACTCCGTATCTCGTATCTGTCTCTTTCTCTCGAGATCAACGATTTTTCGAAAGATCAAGCTTACAAAGTGATTAGTGGGGTAGACTTAAGGATTTGGTGGAAATTGCGTTCCAATGTAGACTAATGGGAAATCAGAATTACCTAAGGTCGAATAGGATTCTTAAACTCAACCTGTTAATGTGATTGTACATGAAAAGAAAGAATGATACTTCAATGTATAAAGGGTTGACATTAATTTTGTAAGATTTTTTGAATTCATTCCCAATTGCAACTAAAAACAAAGGAACGAAGTGAATATTAAAACATTTAAAAAAAAATTATTAAACAATTCAACAAAGTTATCTCAAAAACCTTTATATCGAGTTCAATGGATTCCCAGATTCGAAGTTCCAGCAACTTTTCGTATATGGTACTTGTATCTCAAAGTGTTCTCTCAGTCCCATCACATTCAAGATAACAAGCTTTTACTGTATTAATAACCTTTCCTAATATGACAAGTCCAAATTTATGCAGTTCATGTGCAAGTAAGGTTAGATGATGATGCCTCACCTGCAACAAAGAGAGACAAGTTTTAGCCTAAGGCTACCTTCAGTTTTAAATTGTGAAAATTAATAAACATCAGTGTTGAAAATTTTGGGGGGGATTTCAGGGCTAATTACCAATCCATTTTTTTTTTTCTGAAGTTGGAAGGTGGTTAGTGAACATTATTTTATAGATGGCCTAAACTGAATATTTTAAAGACTATCACTTTTATGTATTGTAGGATAGCTACCACTGGATTCCTCAATCTGTCGGACCTTTACACTGATGAGGAGGTTGCTACATTTTCCCTGTCTGACTCCCCCCAGCAGAGCAGGAGACAGAGTCAGTATGGGGACCTACCCCCCAGACTGGCTGTCAGTCCCTCCCTCATGATTGAAATGCTCTCAGGCTTATACTATGTCACGTAAGTGTTTACTTGAAAGCAGACTTTAAAGGTGGAGGACCTTTTAATATTGTCCAAAAGGCATAATTTTTAAAATTATATATATTTTGTTTCATTCAATTCAGTGTGATAAAAAGTTTATGAAAAAAGCAAGTCAATAAATACCTTATTAATTTGCTCTGTAAGGGAAGATAACTCTAACATACTTGAATTAAATATTTTTTTTTTTTGTCACTAGGTTTAATAGCCAGCCCTCCTTAGGACTTAAAGCTATTTATGATCTTCATCATAGAGCCAGCTATGAGCTGTATGCTGATGTTTTACTGGTCAGTATATAAACTGTAAAATGACGTGTTTCATAGAAACTTAAGAAAATCGGACAATATCTAGAATTTGAATTCTTAAATTTACAATTTATTAGACGGTACAAGAAGAAACCAAAATTTAAACACTCCTTTTCCTTCACAAAATAAGGCTTATTTTGAATAATTATATACCTATCTAAGATTAACTCAGGTACTTTGTTGGTGTTTAATAATAGTTTTTTCTCTGTGATGTTTAACAGGTAACAAATGCAATGACTAACAGTCTACAGTCTGTGGTGTCCAGTTCCAGTGACAGTGTGCGAGGAATGATGGCCGTCACCCCGTCTACATCAGCTCACTCCATCTCCAAATCAGCCATCACCAACGCTTCATTTAGGGCCAAAAAATTGCCAGGTAGCAAAAAGTTGTATTTGTGTACAAGTGCTACAGACATCCAAGATTCTAAAACATTGTAGAATTTTTTATACTGTTGTATACAGTCCTTAATCAAATACATTTTCCTTTCGAGGATTCTATATGGCTGCTTTTATAAAATTTAATGTACTGTTGTAAGTCTTGGAATAAGTGCTTGTATAATGATATGATAGGATGATAGGGGGGTTAATGTTAATGTAAATTGTGTATTGAGGTGACACTGATATCATTTGTCATTTATATTGAAATCATTAAGAATTATTACCCAATCATTTGCTTATAGATGATATCAGCATAGTTCCGGATGAAGACACTGCCAAATTGGCAACCATTGACGAAGACACCCAAGAAGTTGTCTCCCCTAAGGCAGCACCTAAAGCCTCTAAGTTCAACATAGCCAAAGCAATTCTCAAGGGGGATAAATCCAAACCAAAGGAGCCGAAGAAAGAAGCAGGGGATCACAAAACCAGTTTGTCAAACGGAGATGCACCAGATGTAGCTGTTGTTAAAAACAACTCCAGAATTGTTGTTGATAACTTTGAGATGCAGCCCTTCAACCGAAAAACTTCCGATCTTGAAAACAGTGAAGATAAAACTGTGTCCTCTCCTCTGATACCCAAGCCCCATTCTACAAGCAGCATAGGGAAAGACATGAAGACCAGGCTACAAGATCACACTCGCAATCCATCGGGCTCTTCTGTTAATTCAGACAACTATAGCACAAACTTATAAGCATGCTCATAGGTCATCAATAGTTATTTATTATATGTACTGATTTTTTATGCTTAGGGTATTGAGAGTATATTTTTTGAAGGGAAAACATAGGGTTATATTTTTTGGTTTGTAAATTTAATGTGATTAATGAATGTGATGATTCTTTTTAGAGTTTTTAAGCTATATATGTTAGTAGTTTTTCCTTGATCTTTTATATATTTCTGAACTTGAAATTTTCATGCACTTAATCTTTACTATTAAATGAAAAACTTTTTAAAATGCTTTGAAAAATCCCCCTTAACATATTATAGCATAAACTTATTTATGTCCTGTATCCTGTATGAAAGGTGAATTGTTTTTGTATTAGGGAGAATGACAGAAATATTTTTTTCTAATTAGAAATTTACTGATCAATTAAGGTGCTTTCTAATGTGCTCTAATTGTCTTTCAGTACACCTGTACTTGTATAAGGCATTCCACAATGTGATATTAATCCAGTGCTGAACCAACAAGTATATGCACTTTAACTACATGTAAAATATATGAATACATACACAGTCAACTTATTGCAGAATGAAATTCATTACAAGTAATATCTGATTAAGAACTAGCTTACTAATGTTTTATTTGTAAGCATCACTGATTAATCAGGATGTTCATTGTAACCATGTTTTCCTGTTGGGCAGTTAAGGGCTAGTTCAATAAGGGATCAAATACAGGTTTAACCACTAATGCCTTTTAAGGAATATAGTTTCTGAATCTACCTCTTTTTATGACTTGTACATATGCAATATACTAACCATTCAGAGCATTCTACAAATTATTAAATATTATGATTATACTTGAAATTCGTAAAGGAATGCATAGTTTGTAGATAGTTATTTTTTAAATGCAAGTTAAACAGTTTATGCATTAATAATAAATGAATTTCTTATGGTTAATAAAAAAAGTAACCCTTTTTAATTTGGCATTAAATCTAGTCACCAATTTCATTTGTTGCTAAAAAATAAAGAATTATTATTAGGCGTATGTGTTTAGGTAGGTTTGTGGCTTAGCACCTCTTATTGTTATTTTTAAACCTGTACATACACCAATTTACAATTTAAATTAGTCTTTGTATAGTCTTTGTATAGAGCAGTGCTCAGAAATATCATACATAAAAGTAGGGTAGACATTTAAGACGATGCGCAACTCCTGTGTTCTTGTTCTCCCCACATATTATAGCTAGATTTCTGTCATAGACTAAATTTGTGTGTTACATAAATTATAGCATCTGTTTTAGTAGTGCTTAAAGTCACTGTTCACAAGATGTCTATTTGTCTCAGCGACATATTTTTTTCTTCTGCTTATCGTTAATTTATCTCAGCTCACAAACAAGAATATTCCCATGCTCTAGGAGCGATCACATTTCAGATAAACATTTGACTTCTAAAACTTCCCGACATTTGGTTTCAGTTTATTCTCCAGATGTGATTTATGTTTTTCTTCAAGAGGTTGCATATAAGATGTGTAAAGAACTGGATTTTGTGTGTGTTAATTTTATGCACTGTTTTTTAGCTCACCTGAGCTGAAAGCTCAAGTGAGCTTTTCTGATCACCCGGTGTCACACCATCCGTCCGTCCGTCCGTCATCCGTCTGTAAACTTTTCACATTTTCAACTTCTTCTCAAGAACCACTGGGCCAATTTTAACCAAACTTGGTACAAAGCATCCTTGGGTGATGGGAATTTAAATTGTTAAAATCAAGGGCCAAGACCCCTTCCAAGGGGAGATAATCAAGAAAATACGAAAATAGGGTGGGGTCATTAAAAAATCTTCTTCTCAAGAACCACTGGGCCAGAAAAGCTGAAATTTATGTGGAAGCATCCTTGGGTAGTGTAGATATTAAATTGTTAAAATCATGACCCCTGGGGGTAGGGCGGGGCCACAATAGGGAATCCAAGTTTTACATCGAAATATATAGAACAAATCTTTAAAAATCTTCTTCTCAAGAACCACTGGGCCAGGAAAGCTGAAACTTATGTGGAAGCATCCTTGGGTAGTGTAGATATTAAATTGTTAAAATCATGAACCCCTCGGGCGTAGGGCGGGGCCACAATAGGGAATCCAAGTTTTACATAGAAATATATAGAACAAATCTTTGAAAATCTTCTTCTCAAGAACCACTTGGCCAGGAAAGCTGAAACTTATGTGGGAGCATCCTTGGGTAGTGTAAATATTAAATTGTGAAAATCATGACTCCCGGGGGTAGGGCGGGGCCACAATAGGGAATCCAAGTTTAACATAGAGATTTATTGAACAAATCTTTTAAAATCTTCTTTTCAAGAACCACTAGGCCAGGAAAGCTGAAACTTATGTGGAAGCATCCTTGAGTAGTGTAGATATTAAATTGTTAAAATCATGACCCTCGGGCGTAGGGCGGGGCCACAATGGGGAATCCAAGTTTTACATAGAAATATATATAGAACAAATCTTTTAAAAAGATCTGCATCACCCAAGTTACTCAGGTGAGCGATGTGGCCCATGGGCCTCTTGTCTTTTATATATATTTATGTTCAAGTTTGATAAAAATGTATTCACTGTTTTGTTTTTGTTTAAAAGCTGCAATACCTCCAGGTTTTAATTAATTAAAAGAACAAAAAAAAAAAAGGGAAGACATGAAAGAAAATAAATTAAAATTTGTAAAATAATTAACACTGAAATTTAAAAAAAAAACTGCACATTTTATGATTAAACCTAACATCTAAAGGAGGAAATTCATTTTTTTTTTTTTAATATTCATTCAGTAGACTTCCATATTAATTATCTTTAAAGCTTGGGGTAAGAGGCAATGATAAAAGTTAAAATGCATAATATTATGCTGTCTTATTTTGCAATTAATACGTGTACTGATTTCCACTGAGAAATATTTTTAAATGATTTATGAAACTTTCATGTTTGAAACAAGTTCTGAAATAAGAGATGAGAATATATGTGATTGATGATGATAATGTATGCATATTTGTTCACAAGTAAAGAAAATTTGTGATTCAAAACATCTAAAGATAAACTATTTATTGTTAGCTTAGTCAAAGACATAAATACCGAAGAATGATATTTATGTCTTTGCTTTAGTGTAGAGTTTGTAGATCTTTCAACATAAGATTAAAACTGTTTTCTTTATTTGTGCAAAAGAAAATTTAATAAATTATTGAACATTTTAAGTTTTATTGACTAATGGTAATTAAGACTAAAGTATACCCTTAAATAGGGTTTGGTTTACATTTCATACTATTTACACCACAAAATGAAATGTCAGACTAACAGTCAAAATGTGTCAGCAGGCATTTAGCGGTCCCCACCCCCATTTGATCCACCACTTGTTTCTGGCGTAGGCTCTGGATCAGATGGTATGGTTGGAGGCTTGGGAGGAGGTGACATCATCATAGAGTGATGAGGTGGTGACATCATCAAGGAGGCACCTGTTTGTACATGATGAAACATTTGAACTTTATTACAGTGACATGAAAAAAGCATTATAATTTCATAATGTAAATATCCTTGAGGAATCTTTTTCCAATAGTTTAAGGACAAACCCATCTTTCACTTTTTTTTTTATAAAGTAAATTCTTTCTGCCAATTTGATACAGAATATTTCAATAAATAAATATATTGAATGTTTTTGAAAATATGAATTTATATTAAGTAATAAGAATTCTGATAAATTAATGATTTTTTGACATAAATTTAAAGCATGGTATTTACCGTAAGCTCTGGGTAAACTTGGAGGAGGGGGAGGAGACATTCTGTCAATAATGATGTATCTCTCTGGGTAAATTCTGCTGGGAGCTGGGCATGGGCAGCATGATGAAGCAATGGGAGGGAGGAAACTTCCCAGGGGTATTGTCCTGGTGAGTCCTGCTAGCGGTATTTCACCCAGCATAGTCTGGGGGATGCCTTCATAACTACCAAGCACTTCCAGAGACAGAGTGCAGACTAATGCTGCTGTGATCAGCAAGATACCATGTGACATGGTGCCTGAAAATATCTTAAATCATTAAAAACAAGTAGCAAATAAAAACAAAAATTGACCACAGTTAAAACTAATCAGTGATGATAATCCGTTTTCTTTTGTGAATAGTACTGGCAAAATTTCTCATATTGATTTAAAAACTTTCTATTCTGAAAACTGCATGTAGAAGCTAGGTGACATCCCAATAATATCAATGTGCCTAATGAACAAATTTCAATATATAAAAATGGCTTTAAGTTCCACAACCGATTTTCAAGTTTGTTGAAATGAAGGGCACAACCATTATTCAAGGGGAGATAAATCAGAAAAGGTGAAAATTTGGTGACAATTGCTTTAAAAATCTTTTTCTCAGGAACCACTGGCCAGAAAAAGTTGAAACATCTGAAACTTATTTACATAATATATATTCAAATTTGTAAGTGATGACCCCTGGGGTACGGTGGGGTCACAATGGGGGATCAAAGTTTTACATAGAAGTTATATAGAAAAAAAATCTTTAAAAATCCTCATCTCACAAACAGCAGAGTCATGATTAATTTTACTGATATGGAAGCATCCTCGGATAGTGTAGATTCAAATTTGTTCAAATGATAAACCCCAGGGGGTAGAGTGGGCCACAATGGACAATCAAATTTTAATAAAAAAATGTACAATATAAAGGAAAAAATCTCAAGAGCAGCAAAGCCATTTGTTATATTGATATTGAAGCATCTTCAGGTTGTTTGTAAAATATAAGATTTTGGAATTTTTTATGCTATTAATACATTACATTTGAAATGTATATGAAAAATATATATTTCTAACAATATACAAGGCAGTAAATGCTAATTACCAGGTAAAGGCATGCTGCAAAGTGAAACACAAGAATTTTGCTTCCTAGCAATTTTTATAGAGTGCTATTTAAGCTGCATGGAGTATTTTAATTAATTAACGAAAGTATGAAAAACTAGGATACACATTGAAAGTATAAATTGTAATTTACTTACCTTGCTTGATTTATGAATACAAAAGAAACCAAATTTTTCATCCTTGTGTTTTTATATTCATTTAAAATGTTTTTGTCACGATTTTGTGAGAGATAATTAGGAAGATTTCTTGCTAGATCACAGGGCAGGTCAATTTTTACATTGTTGTTTGAACTTTTTTGTTTTATAGGTGTTTATTTTTATTGCAGTAGGAAATGTGTTATTCAGACACCATTGTCCACAAAATGTCTGACAAGCAAATTCATTAGAGCATTTCCTGGTTACAATTTAGCAAATGCCAATGGTACAAATATTGCCTGCCCCTTATTATAATATGCAGGCAGGGATCCAAAAATTTTTTCCAAGGGGGGGGGGGGGGGGGGCACCCCAGTCAATGGTAAAAAATCAAATTCAACCCAGAAATTTTTGACAAGGAAAAAAAAAGAAGAAAAGAACCGTTGCCCAAACTTCAAAAATCCTATTTTTTGGTGTGTGCGGAGATGGGGGGGGGTGTCGATGACTTCTAATGCTTCAAACCTTAGACTTGTCATACCAATTTAACACAAATTCGCGTTTACCAGGGGGGTCTGCGTTTTCCGAGGGGGTCCAAGGTAACTTTTTTCTTGCTTTAGTATATAAATTTGATAACCTTGCAAATCCTGATCCCCCCACCCCCCATAGAGCCGCGCATGGTATGTATACTTGATATACCACATATGCAAATACTTGTAGCGTTAACATTGTTATTTGGTCTCAGTTCTGGCTATATAATAAAGTTACAATACTGTTTGTCACATTTCTTTGCCACAAGTCGATTTTCTTCTTCCTTCGTCTGAACTTTAAAAAAAAAAAAAGTCTTGGTTAGTCCCAAGGGTTCTGGTATATTTTAAAGGATTTTTACTCAAGATTGTAACATTGGTCATGATAATAACAAAACTGAGGACTTGTGAAAATAGGAATATTTCAGACATGATTTTACCCCAATGTTTGTTTTAGAAGTAGGTAATAATGCTGGATTACAAGGTGCAGAATTTGACAGTTTGAATTGGAGGCAAAGGTCAAAATAAAATGTATGATTTTAAATTTTCTCGCCCTGAATGGATTAAATTGCCTTCCCTTTGTACATGTATAACTATAATGAGATGTTTAAATCACTTTCATAGTTGGTTTTAGTTTAAACAGAAAGGTTCTCGGGCCACATTGTTCGCCTGAACACTTTGGCACAGAAAAAACAGAAATTAGGTCAGCGCAGCATTGAAAACTGAAAATAGAATAGATTAAGGGAATGATTTAAACAAACTTGAATCTACAATACCTAATAATGCTTCCAATTATTTCTTTGGCTAATCATGGTTTAAGAAGATTTTCAAGAAATATTCCTTAGCTCCCAAGAAAAGAGTTATGGCCCCTGGTTTGGGATGCCCACAAAAGGTCAGTGTTGTGCTGTTATTGTGGTTTTTCTTGTTGGCTTTGGTCTACTTTATAATAAATATGGGGTTCCCTAAGTTTTATAGAGAATTTTGATCCATTTGTTATGTACATATTTGATCGTCTATTATGGCCTGGCCTTACCCTAGGAGATATGATTTGAACAATTAGTTTCAAACTTTATTATGCTGAAACATACCAATGTACGCTATTCAACTCATCAACATTTTTGACATTGATCTTTTTCACCTTGATCTCACTTTTCTCATTTGTGTTTAGCTAATTTTAAAGGAAACTGTTTATGATATTTTTATCAAACTTCACTTGCTAATACATATTGACCTAAGCTGTCAACTGCATCAATTTGAAATATTATTTGACTTGACCTTTCCTTTGACTTCAACTTTCTTAAATCATGTTTATAGCTCCGTTTTAAATAAACCATTAAATTCATATCTTAATATGTTGATATGTACTAGTGAGAGCTGTTCAACTTCATCAAAAATGTTTGGCCCTGAACTTCTCTGTAACTGTGACCTCACTTTTCCTATATTTGCATTTTGCTTAGTTTTAAAGAAACCAATAAGATATTTTGTGTAAGCTTATGCACTTATACATAATTTGGTGAGAATTTATCATCTACCAACTTTTTAAATTTCAATTACAATTTCAAAGAAACAAGAGATGTTCGTAAAACACTTATGCCCCCCACCCCCAAATAAAATTTTTTTCTAAGTCCAAAGGGGCATAACTGTCATAAATGGCACGATCATACCCAAACAGAACTTGACCTAGATATTCATTTGAATAATTTGTATACTACATTTCATTTCAGAATGTGCAACCTCTGCAAAGAAAATGAACGGAAACTGCAAATAATTGGAATTTTTCTAAGTCCAAGGGGCATAACTCTGAGAAAAATGGTGCGATCGTACCCAAAACAGATCCTGACCTAGATATTCATCTGACAAATCTGTGTACTAAATTTTATATCAGTATGTGCAACCTCTCTGAAGAAAATGGAAACTGCAAATAACTGGAATTTTTTTTAAGTCCAAGGGGCATAACTCTGCCAAAAATGGTGCGATCGTATCCAAAACAGAACTTGACCTAGATATTCATCTGATATACCTGTATACCAAATTTCTTTCAGTAGGTGCAACGGTTGTGAAGGTAATGAACAGAAACTAAATGGACCGATCGACAGACAGCAGCAAAACAATATGCCCTCCCTTTTTTGACGGGCGGCATAAATATTAAAGACGTTCTCAAAGAACTTCACCCCCTAATACAAATTTTCATGTTGCATTACTTATTATATATACACTTGGCTGGGCATTCATGTCCTGTGGACATTATTTTTGTATTCCAATGTAAAACTTGGATCTCCTATTGCAGCCCCAAACCTTTCTCTGGGGGTCATGATTTGCACAAACTTGAATCTACACTATACATGGATGCTTCTTGTTGAATGAGACTAAATGGCACTCTACAACTTTTTAAAAAAAGAATGAGCAATAAAGAAAATTGGAATATTCAAGTTTTATTTATTGAGCAACATTTGGGGCTGCTGGAACTACAGCTCCTTTAATGAGTGCAATGAGTATTTGGTCCATATTCATGAGATGTTCACATAAAATGCCTCGAATATTTGGTACATGAGATGGGAAAAACACATAATTACAATATTAACTAAAAGTTAAAGAGACAAATACTGATTGGAATACCAGTCACGGGGGAAAACAACAAAGGTCAAAACACATCATTTTGTAATCAGTACAAATATATAGTAACAATTCTCATCGCTTGTCAGGATATACACATTATGTGCCACTGACATTTACATGAAATCATTATATGAACATCAATTTTGGAGGACATGGAAATTTGCCAGTTTAATCATAACTGGGATCAATCTGAACTCCAAAATTCTACAGAGTATTACAACAGTAATCCGATTAATCCTACACCTCTGACAATACTACATATTACTTAGCACAACAATTAATAACGTAAAAAATACACAATATAATGCCACTCAAAATCTGTTGAGATCTTTGCACATGCTCAAGTATTTGAACATATTTTGTAAAACCATGAAAACTACAAAAAAAATGCAAAAAAACAGCAGTGTGAGAGCACTAAATTGAAACCATCTGTTAGAAATTTTCTATCACTAACTTTAAGATTAAGCCACTTCATGTGACTGACTCTCAAGCTGTAAACTGTAATTATATGTAGATGCTCATTTTCAGGACTACAAATTCACTTAAATTACACCTAGGTACAAACTTGACAATATGAATATTATTTTTAACCTTTATTCCACAATTTTTTTTGGAACATTCATTTTGTTCATGTATCCTCAAGGGCAAATAAAGTAGAAAGGAAGGGAGGATAGATATTGGGGGAGGCAGGAATGATTTTTTTTTTTTAAATTAAAATTTTGAAATTTATGCAGTTATTTACATTGAACATACTTGGACCCCTTCCTATGACCCTTAGTCCACCCTCTATTCTGATCTCTAAGTTTTAATCTTTATTCAAATCAATTTACAAAAATCATTGGGGAATATGGGGAGCTAGGTTAACCATGCTTTAAAGTTGCTAAAGACACAAAATTTAGATTTCAGTAACAAACATAATGAACATTAACAATGCTGATCAAATAGGATACTCTGATAAAGTATGGATAATGTTCCAAATGCATTTTAACTAAAAGACTAATCTATCTTTCTTGCGCTCATATACTACCTACATTGTGAATACAGGGTTATAAAGGTATCTGATTTCAATCACAAAATATTCACCATAATGGGTTTGTCTTCAACACTTTATATGGACACTTAGGGAGTGTTTGGCTAAAGTCAGTCGTAATAAACAGGTCAACGTCAGTCAAACTCGTAAGAAGCAGGAAAAGTCTCTTTAAAATACCTCGTTTATAACAATTACATTGACTAAGTCTCTTGAAGTATCTACTAGAACATGTACTGTTAAGTAACCAAAAACTATTTCCCTTAGCAAAAACAAGTGAGTCATAACTTAGACTGATGGAACATGATAGACGTCTTCTAATTAAACTCATGTAAATTGGCTTCTTGTGTCATCCTAGCAATAAATTATTGTCATCAAAAAGTAAATCAACAATTTTTCTAAAATCAGAATTTAAAAAAAGATATTTTAAACTAATACTACTGCAAATGGTGTTACCGTGTAACAAATGTCAAGAAAATACTTTTAAGCCTCTGTGACCTTATTTGGAAGTCCTTTGTCATTTCATCATTTTATGGTTACATATAAATAATAATACCATTTGATCATTCTGTAATCAAATACTATTCATTTATTATTATTATCAAGCTTAAATCTGTTAAGCTCTTAGTAGATGTATAATGATTGTTCAACTCTTGATTAACTTAAGCAGGTGAATTAAAATTTTTTCTGCAGGCAATGTATTCCAAAACTCATAAACTGATTGAAAAGAATTAGTAAACCTAAGTCTATTAATGTATTAAGGTACATCTAAAATAAAGTATTAAAGTACATGCACTAAAGCTTGATCCCTGAATGTTAAATATAATAAATCTCTTTAAATACACAAAAGTACCTAGATTTATTTTCTATATGAAAGAAAATAAATTATCATGCATTTTATTGCATAGTGGGCGAAGATTATGAGCAAACAGATTGAAATTCTGAACGTGTGAGAAAGAAATGCCTTTTGAAAATAATATTATCACAAACATGGAAAAATAATTAACACAACATAAACATAATTAAGACTTATGAGTAGGCAGTGCTGTGATGGGCAGTAAGTACACGTAACATAAGAATGAAAAGTTGGCTCATTTAAAGTACTAGTTTTTGGTGGCAACATTGAAGTAAAAAAATACATCTTTTATTTAACATTAAAAGAGAAAAATATATTTCCTTTGAAATGGATTATATTACCCGGTAACTGGTCCCTATTAACCTGTTGCTGACAAAATATAAAATTTAATAATGTTTACACCTCAAAAAAAAAATCTAATACATCTCAAAATTATTCCACCATTCCTATATCATACTGGTATAGTGGTAACAAAAACTAATACTCATGATTTATTATCCTGATCATAATTACATATGTATACAAAACAAACCTAAACTCAATACAATTAAGACTTTGAAAATACTAAGTTAAAAAAAACAAACCATTACACAGACAACTACAAAAACAACATGAGGTTTTCTCTTCTTGTGAGAACTAAAGCACCATGTGTTTGACTAGATCAACAAGACAACATAATCCATAACAACATTCACTTATTAAATGTAGAACCAAAGAGAAATCAAAACAAATATACTGTTACATTTAATACCCTTAATAGATCTAGCACTAAACAGATCTAATGCTACCACTAAACAATTCTACCACTAACATTCAATAACAACTGATCAGTAAAATATAAATCTACTCTAGAATACATGTACTCATGCTATAAAAAAAAACAAAAACATATATATCAGGTTCTCAATCTGTTAAACAATCAAATTCATTCTCATATGTAAAATATGAACTAAGGCATTTTGATTTTGGCATGTTAAACATTTGAGATTTATAGTTTGCTTTTCAATGAAGGAGGTTCCATGTCTCCCATTTGACAATTTCCATTCATTAAGGGTGTCTCTACCTCCACTTCTATCACTCCATTCTGTTTCCGAGAACAGTTCTCCTCCTTAAACGTCTTCCACAATAACTGAACAAGGTCAGATATGAACATGGCTGATGTGTTCTTTCCGACCAGTTTCAAAACGAAGACTCCGTCAGAACGTAAATAATGCTCCGCGAACTTCCGCGAGAGTTTCTTATCAAAGTTCGTGTGAATTTCACCAGATGCTTTGAGATATTTTCGGACGTACATGACCTTATTTTCTCCAAACACTATTATATATACCCAATGGAACAGGTTTCCAAAGGAAAGAACAGCTAGAAGGAAAAACCAAAACCACAGAAATGTAAAGATTTTTTCGTTGAATAGATTGATGGGCAAGACACATTGCACTGTAAAGGTCTGAAGATTGGCAAGCTGGCGAATTTTGAAGTCACACAAAGTCACACGCGGAAATCGGGGTGATTCTCTCCAATTCCTGTCAAAAATGAAATTTTCAATCACTTCAAATCCAAACATGTTAAAATCGGTAGCCATGAACGCATTCAGTAGGAAAAACTGCCCCACTACATTGGCACAGTACAAAAATTTGGTGAATATGTAAAAACCGGTGAGAAATGTTCCGTCTCTCTTTCCACAACAAAAACACAGCACATTGGAGTACTTCTCCCTGACTTTGACAAAGAAATTGTACCTATATTCCCTATGGGTCTGGATCCAGCGATTAAGGTACTTGGCAAGATGGGAGATATTCTTCATTCTATCGTCTGGGTCCCCCAGCATCCCGGTATCAGCAAGTGCTGTTATCTTCTCAATATTTACACCTGATTGTCCATTCAACATACGCCAAACAATGTTAGGAATTTTGAACATGAGGGCCTGAAACATAAGGATGATGGGAATCCATTGATAGTAAGTCAGTTCTTGGTTATATCTATCTGCTACTCTATGTGGTATGGGTTCTTCCTGAGGAACATAATACGTGTTGGAGACCCAGCAATAGGATTTGGCATAAGCGGTGTACGCACTTGTGAATTCTGCGGGCACCCAACACTCGATGGGGTTACCTGCATACTGACCAGACGAGGTCACCACTGCAAATAAAGTCAGTAGAACCACTGTCCATAGGTGGTTAAGACGGTCTATCCAATCGTCATCACTACTGCCCGTGATCTTTGAGAAACTGGCTAAGCTGCCTAAAACTGTACTCAACCTGGAAAAAATCAATTTGTCACATATAAATACTTAAAAATAAAATAACTTATGTTACTCTTATATTTTAAATAAAAGTTTGTTTAAATTAATTTACATGTGCACAAAAATATCATGTAATATTAATTACTTTAATTATACATAACTGTAACTTACATGAATGGAATATGAATATTTGTGCATTTCAAAATAACACTTCTTAAACTGATTTTGAATTCAAAAGAATTGCATGAGTTCGATGTGGATCGATCTCTGTGAAGGATTTTTGTTTAAATCACACCAAGCTTATCTTAAAAACTGGTATACAAAAAGATCATAAATTATTACAAAATACTTATTTCAAGGGCAAATTTCTTCAGTTATTTGCAGGGCAATATGTTCACTTCAACATTTAATTAAATTCACTGAATTCAGAATCACATTGAGCCCATGCATCCATCTGGTTGAAAATCATGTAATAACAAATATTGTAAGTCTACCTCTTCCTGATATACTTTTAAGTTTTTTTAATATCTAGTCCAAGGATGGTAAGTGAATCCATCAATTTGAAGATATAACCATGGAAACTCCAAAAATTAATAAAGATCTAGACTAACAGTATTGACACATACAAGTAATTTCTTAACAAGTCAGATTTTTTTCTTTTGGTATGATATAACAGTTTATTCAAGCAAAAGACTTATAATATAGCCATGAACATGAAATCCAAACTTTTTAACCTACTTGTTTATATTGGTAACGTGAAAAATACCATCTTCATTTTATATTGAATTTCTATTTTGCTTACAAAAACACTCCGTTATTAAACGCTACAATTGATTTTATCTAGATCTAATACGTAAATTATTAAAAATGAAACTGATAAAATTAATGTTTCAAAACTTCGGGATTAAAACAATGAACATTATGAGGGGAGAGAGAACTTAAATTCTTTCATTTGAAATCTTTTAAATTAAAACATTATAAACTCTGAGAATTTTAATATAATTTTGACTTTATGAAATATCTTAAGAAATATATGAAAACAAAAAGTTTGTCAATTCTCTTTTTATTTTTTTTTTCAAGTAAATCGACATGAATCAGCACATCTAAGTGTCTGAAATCTCTAAGTACTTACATATTTCGTCTATATAGTTAAATGTCCAAATCAAATCTATCTACACAATGCCTCATTGCCAACTGATCTACAAAATACAAATGACGCAATCATCACATGACAAGGTTCAGATCAACATCTACACCATGTACACTCCAGCAATTCAACACACCTCTTATTTCAAATAAATGATGTGTCCTCCAAAAATGTAGGATTTAATGAGGTCTTATGACAGATTACATCTATTTTGTAGGCAAATCTGAGCTAACCAAGAGATCTAATTTTTTATAGAAATGGTCACTGGCCTTTTGCCCAAAGTTTTTCAACTCCTTTTACTGTTATTACAAAGTTTAAATTCTATAGGTTAATATTTTACTAGTTCTTAACTGCTTTTTTCCAGTTCACTGTTCTGTTTTTATGGACAACAAAAGCCAAGAGGAAAACCTGACCAAGATGAATTGACGATATTTGTTTTCTTCTCCCTGTCCCCTGACAGGAAGGTCAAATGCCCATGATTTGTCTTCTCTTTGGGGATTACTTTATCACACCATTGTTCTTAATCTTACAGGGATCGACACTATCGGTTGTCCGATTGCCCGGGACAAGTAAATTCTAAGTTCGGGCAAGTGAACTGTTGATATACTTGTCCGATCGGGCAAGTGGATATTTCTCAGACTGATCGATAGAAACATTTTCTTATTAAATCAGGAAATTGTTGTTTGCATTCAGATCCCTCGGTAGCGTTTCTGGTTCATACCTTTATTCAGAAATTGGGGGTGTTATTCTGTTTTTTCCTGTCTGACAACTTAGTTACATTTTTATCATGAAACAGATATTCTAAATTAATTTATTTATTCACTCACAGAATATAAAGAACACCAGTTATTCTCATCGCACAATGTATCTTGATTCAAAAAAGCGTAAACTCATTTTTTTTAGGGAAAAAAAATAAAATTTTAAAAACAAAATCATATGAAAATAATATTCCTGCATTGTGCAGCTGTGTTTTCAGGTTATTAACTGACAGGAAAGTGGTTTACATACATATACATGATATATATTATATACAAATGTAGCATCACTGTCACATCAACATTTTTTTCTGGCAGATAAATTCAAAATAGAAATAAATTGGTCACTCTTTAATATTAACAAACAATAAATTAAGATATAATAAGTGGATTTTCTTCTTTAAAAATACAGGGCAACAAAGTTTTTCAGGCAAGTCAAAATTGTAGTTCACTTGCTCAAAGGACAATTGATTATAAAAGTTAATGTTTATCCATGTTTTTTCTTTATAATAAAATTTCTCCAATGACCATAACGACTAAAACACAGTTATGAATGTACAGATTTTCATATAATAGATAAACTCCTTTTATATATTTTTCACCCGTGACCATAACGACTTACACAAAGTTGTGAATGAATAGATTTTCATATAAACTCCTTTTATTCCTTTTTTCAAACGTGGTTAACCCTTCTCATTATACATATTTCAATCCTTTACCGTCAAAGACATTACATAGCTTTAAACTCCTTGAACTGAATAAGCGCGATTTTTATGCGACGCTGAACATAATGAAAGCACTGATCATTGTATGGGAATTTGCATGGAAGTATTGCTCTTTCATCAAACAAAGAAGTGAATAAGTATATAATTATCAAAACCTGCTTTATATTATTTTTTTCAATGATCAAATACAGCTCTTCTTTTTTTAATTCATACAATTGTAAGAAATGACTGTAAACAGTGTTTCAGATCTACATCATGTATTTAGCGATTTGTGCACCCAAACAACATGAACAAAGAGATAGTAAACGGTCGCCTCGTAAATGGAGACTAATGCACATTATTTTAACAACAACAAATTTTTGAATAGAGAACAATATGCTTTTAACTTTGTTGCTTTGAAAAAAATAAAAACTGCACGTAAAGGATAAGCTTACATGATTGATGGTTTGAATGAACCCAAACTCCCACCACGTCCATTGCATCACTTTCATTAACCGGAAGTTTTCATCATCCCGCAATTTCGCGCCAAAATCAAACTCTCTCTCTCTCTCTCTCTCTCTCTCTCTCTCTCTCTCTCTCTCTCTCTCTCTCTCTCTCTCTCTCTCTCTTTCATTAACCGGAAGTTTTCATCATCCCGCAATTTCGCGCTAAAATCAAACTCTCTCTCTTTCTCTCTCTCTCTCTCTCTCTCTCTCTCTCTGATATCATTTAAAAGTATATGAAAAAAGTTAAAAGTTTACGTGCATCCAAAGGCCATATAAATACAAACACAATTCAGTTTTATTAAATCTACTTTTTTAGTGCTAGAGTTATCCCTCTTTAGCCTAGTACTTGTAGTCTTTTTAAAATATCCTTCTGAATATTGATTTTGGGCATTTGTTTTGTTTGAGGTAGAGTAATGACCAGTATCAAAACCAACCAAGTATATAGGTACAGTGTATAAAACTAAAAACATTACAGAAACTGAAAATACCCCCCCCCCCCGCTTTCGGCGACTAAGTAGATGGGATGCAATTATACTCATTGCATATTGTGTCAATTATGAAAGTTCTATCATCAGATCATATATATTTCATTCAAAAGTAATACCAAAATATTTTTTTTGAAAATTAGGTCAATCATCATGAAAGTAAAGGTCAATGCTGGAAAATCACAAAATTCTCGGAATCTTCTTTTCACAGGTAATACACATGACAAATATATGAAAGTCCTATCTTTTTCCAATTAAAAGTCACAAGGCAAGGTAACATTTTTTTACAAATTAGATCAAACATCAAGGTCAAGGTCACAGAATAAAAATCTTAGTATATTTAGAAAGGTCTTACCACAGCTAATATACATGACCAATAAAAAAGACCTTTTTTTTTTCTTTCTTAAATTATGACAAATTAAAGTAAAGTTAAATCTTTTGAAAATTTTAAAAGTAGGGCAAACTTGTAGTCAATGTCAAGGGGTAAAAACTCAAGGTATATTCATAAAGGTAGTACATGTTTACATGTGTAATATTTAGTGGCGGACCCAGAAATCTTGAAAAGGAGGGGGGCGACCAGTTTGGAGTCAGGGTGGGGTCCACAGACACACCAAAACACATTGATTTATCAAATCTTATGTATTTTTCTGGACACAAATGGGGGTGAGGTGGGGTGGGGTGGGGGCGGGCCCCACGGTTTAAATTATTACAGTTTGCTTTACTGCTGCTTGTTTTTCAGAGCAGCAACATTTTGAATGATTCAACGAGTACAGAGAGGTCATAAGAGGGTACAAAAGTACTCAAATTAGATTGATTGAATATTCGCATAAAAATGAGAAAATTCGAAAAATGACATATTTTGTGACACTCCTGTAACTTTTGTGTACCCCATAACTGAATTGGAATCAATCCTCACTATATGAAAGAGGGATGATAACAGGTTTGTAATGATAAACTATTGTTCCTGGAGACACCAAAAATCAGGGGGCCAAAAAGGTGCCTTGGCCTATATCGTCCTTTTCAAAATGCTAATAAACAGTCAATTTGCCAATAACAGAATTTTTTCATGATAATAATGTAGTATGATGTGGCGGTCTTGTAGAGTGAACTCTTCCTTCTAAATTCCCACTCCCAAAAACTGGCTCAAGGATAGGATTTCCCCGATGGATAAATGACATAGGAGTAGGACTTCAACTACGAAAATCCCGCAACAGATTAAATATTTTCTGAGGGAAATCCTTCCATTTGCAAATTTTTTCCCCAAAATATCACGATAATATCATGATATTTTTACAAGCAATTTTTACTATGATTTTAAATGAATAGTCATTATTTTTCTTAAAAATATGCTATTTATAATTTATTCCATAGCAAAGTTCCCTCGTGTTATAAAATTTAATTCCAGCAATCAAATATGAGGGGGAGGCATTTTGCTACAAGTGCTTACGCAATGGAAAATCTTAATGAAACAAAAATCATCAAAATGTCTAATTGTACGCTCATAATTTTTTAATGACCACCAGTGAATCATACGAAATATAAAATTCAAATCTCGTTCTTTCTCAGTAACTGGTGTTTTTCATACAAATTTTAAAAATGATGTTTATGGCACGCCAAATTCACAAAAATGAGCAAATCATAGTTTCACAATCGATAAACTAGGTTTATCGGTTGTAAGCCTAGTTTACGGACTGTAAACTATAGTTAACAACGTTAATCTATATTTTACATCTGTAAACTATAGTTAACGCGATAATCTATGTTTCACAACCGTAAACTATACTTAACACCGAAAACTATCATTTGCGATTGCAAAACATAGATTATCTGATAAATACAGTTTCACGAGTTGTAAACTATAGTTTACAAACCGTTAACTATAGTTAACGTTTGATAAATATAGTTTCACGATTTGTGAAACTATGATTAACAACTCTTAACTGTAGTTTATGATTGTAAACTATAGTTTACAAACGTGAAATTGTTTCTCAACAAAATCTAAACGCTTTATTCAGAAGTACAACATTGAAAGATTAGCATTCGTAAACTATAGTTAACGACCGTTAAATATAATTTTTACAGAAAAACTATACTTAACGAATCGTTAACTATACTTAACGAATCGTTCACTATAGTTTACGGTTTGTAAACTATAGTTTACAGTCGATAAACCTAGTTTATCAATTGTGAAACTAGGTTTATCTCATTTTTGTGAATTTGGTGTGCCATATATGTTCGTAATAATTTGTCTACGGATTTCTCCGTTTAAAGCGTTCAGCACGGATGTGAGTGGTCGACAGGGGATGTTTCCTCCTCCATGGCATGTGATCCCACCTCTTGTATTTCCAGGTCTCTTTGTTTGACCTGCTCTGGGTTTGCTTGGTTTCACTGGATTCAACAAGATGTGTTTGGTAAATACTGATGCCTCCGTATGGCAGCTTTTGGCGAAGGTTAAAGTTTCTAAAATGTATGTCTTACCCCAAGGTCAAGGTCAAAATTGTTGGTATCAAGAGAAAGATCTTTTCACAAGAAGTACACATGTGAAATATGAATGCCCAAGTACTCACTGTTAAAAAAATTATGATCGAGCAAGGTTAAAGTTATTAACAAGGTGGTTCAAACTGTTCTGAAAAGTGAAAAGTGTGAAACATGTGAAATATGATAGCCCAAATACTCACTGTTCAAAAGTTATGGTCAAGGTTAAACTTTCGTTTTTTTAGGTCCCCTGGGTAAACTCAGGTGACCTATTGCTATCCGTTTCGTCTGTCGTCCTGCGTTAACATTTGAATATTTTAAGCTTCTTCTCTGCAACCGCACAACCATATTCAACATAAAGCATTATGGGTGGAGGGGAACAAAAATTGTGAATTTCATGGTCCCTGCCCCCTTGGGCCTGAGGCGTTGGGCCAAAACCACTAAAGTAAGTGTAATCTCAAATTGTTGGCATCAATGTGATAAAAATTGAGTCCTCTACCAAATTGTGTAATCCATGGCCCCAGGGTCAGGGGGTTCAAGTGCTAGGGCGGGGCTATATACTAGTATTGAAAATGCAATACTTCTTTGAAAATCTTCTTCTCTGTTCCTTGGTATGAAACTAACTAACTACATACATAGTTATGATGAGCATTGGTACCTCTTCAAAAATTGTTAATTTCACGGCTCCTGGGTCAGAGGTTCTGGTGCTAGGATGGGGCTCTATTGATTATAAGGTGAAAATGCATTAAGTCTTTGAAAATCTTCTTCTCATGCAGCTGCTCCTGGGTATTAAACAAACTACACACATATTTATGATGAGGAAAGGTTCAAGTTTTTGCGGACGCACAGACAAACGGAAGAACAGTGCAAAAACTATATACCCCAAAATAAACAATTACAAGGGCATAACGACTGTTTATTATCAGCTTTATTTACTGGTATATGTGTTACTGCAAAATAATTTTGAAGTTTAAACTTATCGGTAAGCATCTAGAAAAATACGTTATATTTTCATTAATCATGCATTTAAACATCGCATCTCGACATCTTGATTGATAACCGGATGGTGCATGCAAATTCTATCGAATGAATGGAAATTTTAATCTTTAAAACATAATATACTAGTAAGTCATATTGGACACTTACATCGCTGCATTAAAAAGTAGTTTTCACATATTGAAATATACTCAAGTAAATTAAAATATATATGGGGATAATAAACAGTATTCAAGATCAAATGTCGATTGAAACAATATAAACCAGGAGTAGAGCGAAAACAGACCTCTAAAACAGAGGGATCAGGTGCCATGGAGGAGTGAGCATCCCCTGCTGACAGGTCACAACTGCCGTGTGCTCCTTGTCATGATGTCGTGAAATAATGGGAAAGTCGTTGACAATTCAGTGGGTAAATGAATAATGGTCTTACAATTAGTATGAAAAACGTCAGTCAGGATACAATGGTCAGACTTACACAGAACTTGTCAGTAATGATACTTTTGCAAAAAGTTACCAAATTTTAACCATGGCCATAATTTTCGAACAGTGATTCTAAGGCTAACATACTTTACATGTACATGTATATCCATTGTGGCAAGACCTTCATTTGTGTACTAGTATTTCTATGTTGGATCTTACTTTAGAATTTGACCCAATTAAAAAAAATTAACCTTGGCAACAACTTTTGAGCAGTTAATTAGTACTGTGGGACTTTACTTTTTACAGGTACATTCCCCTTGAAAAGACCTTCCTTTTGATACCAACATTTTTGACTTTAACCTTAAAATTTGATCAACTTTTGAAAAAATTTAACCTTGGCCATAACTTTTGTACAGTTGGTGCTAGGACTTTTATAGTTCACATGTTTATTTTTTGTGTTACGACTTTCCCATGGCCTTGACCTTGGAATTTCACCAAGTTTCAGAATCAAACCTTATGTCATGAGAACGGGTTGTGGTTGGTCTTTATTTGGTTAGCAACATTTTTTTATCTCTTGGGCGTTACCTTGGAGTTTGACATGCAGCTGAGAGACCCCCCCGTCAGTAACCATATTGGAGGATTAATCTCACAAACACATCTTGTTTTTGGAATTTACTATTCAAACAATAG